TTCTACCTCTTACTGCATTTATTTCCTTAGATTTATCACTAAATATTTACTTTTATCCGGATTGCTCTCATTTATTCACTCTTCAGGCTTCTAGAAAAGTCCTCAAAACCAGTTCATGGACTAGCAGCATCAGAATCAGTCAGGATGTTTATTGGAAATACAACTTCATAGGTGCCCCCAAGATGGAAACTTCTGGCACTCAGTATTTTAACAGAATTTTAAGCAGGGATTCATATTTAAGGATTGTAGGCGATTCTGAGAGCAGAAAACCTTGGTGATTACACTGTTCTAGGAGATGCTGATGATATTTCTTAGTCATTCCTAAGGGGTTCCTAAGCCCCAACATAGAGACACACTCTTATCCTTGACATTGAACAAGCCATTGTTATGGGACTAAAGGGGACTAAAAGGGTCCATTTGCTACATGCATCAAAGCCCAATAAGACACAAATAGGAATTTGCAGATAAGAAAGTAAGGATTTATTAAGGGATGGCACCAAGCCCAGTCACAGATAGCTCATGCTCAAAGATCTGGCTTCCCCATGGCTTCCAGGAGATGGACTACATAGGAAAAAAGTAATTAATTATGGTGACTAAAGGAGTGAGGGTGGTGGTCTCTATTGGTCGGTTGGTGCTAGGATAGGGAGTAATTGATCATTGCATATGGTCCTGGTATCAGCCATGGAGTTGCTCTGTCCAACTTCACAAGAATTTATTCTGTGGAATCATTCTGCTTTCCGGGGTCCAGAGCTAAAACACAACTGAGGCCAAGATATTGTCTCTAGTTTGACTGAAAGTCTGTCTCTGTAGTCAATAGACCCGGCTCTTTGTTTCTAAGACTACTGGAGGCTGACCAAAACCTCACTGTCCTGAAGGCTTAATGATTAAGCAAGGGAGAGGGAGCTGGGTGAGTCAGGGAGGGAGCTGGGTGAGGCCAGTTTGAGTCAAAGGGAAAAAAATCAAAATAAAAGGCCAGATTAAAGAAAATAAGGTTTCTATGCGGTTACAAATTTAGCATCTCTCAGCCTAGTTTTCTCATCTATACAGTGAAAATGATAACATTTTCTCTCTTTCTGAGTTGGGAATTATGTATTGCACTATTCTGACTCCACCATTGAGAAGGCGCTCAATAAAAAACAGCTGTCACTCTTTTCTGCCCTCCCATAGCACTTACCACGTGGTAATAGATGTCTTCCCAGATGGGGCTCTCCCTCTCTCCTCTAGACTATGAGCTTGTTAGCAGCTAAGACACGGTCTTATTCATCATTGTCCACCAGCATCCGGCACCTGGTAGCCATTTGACAAATGCCTTGACTGGGTGATGAATACATAACCAAGGGAATCAGTTATTCACATAGTTCATCACAGAATATTTTAAAATGTGTCTTTTCTGTGTGTATGTGTCTCTAGGGAGGAACAACAGAGACATAGAATTGTGGCAAGAATAAGAAAAGAGGCATTAATTGGTTTGGCTCAGTGGGTAGAGCATCACCTGTGGACTGAAGGATCCCAGGTTTGATTCCGGTCAAGGGCATGTACCTTGGTTGCAGGCACATCCCCAATAGGGGGTGTGCAGGAGGCAGCTGATCGATGTTTCTCTCTCATCGATGTTTAACTAGCTATCTCTCTCCCTCTCTGTAAAAAATCAATAAAATATATTTTTTTAAAAAGAAAGAAAAGAGGATGCCAACAACTTTTCTTATCAAATATGGCATCTTTCTGCTGTGGGTGGTGGAAGGGCACCAGGTGTTAGAACGGTGGGGTCGGGCAGGACCTGGGTTCAGCCACTTCCATACTTGAGTTCTGGCTAGGAAAGAATTCAGACCCAAGACTCAGACTACAAGAGAACATTTATTTGGACAATCACAGGGACAGAAGAAGTGATTTTTGAAGGCATGGACTTAGGGAACAAGTGATAGAGGTAAAGAAAGGGCCCTTGCAGCTTGGGAGTGAGGAAGGTCATGGTAAGGCACCCCCAGAATTTTAGGGGAAGGGGTTTCTCCAGAAGGCAGAGTGCACTGGGTCCTCCATCCTAAAGGTTTTAAGCGTGGAGCTTTTAGGGGATGTCCCAGGGGAAGATCTCCATAGAATACTCAGCAGCTCTCCAGGTGTGTCCTTTCAGGGTCTGGGTCTCCACTGATTGATTGGTCGGCACCAGGCAGGGGGTCATTAGTCAATGCACCTGGTCCTGAGGGCAGCCATGGGGCAGTCACTTGTCTGGTTTTGCTGCTTTCCTGGATCTGGATCTGGAGCTGAAATACTACTGAGGCCCAGATGTTATCTCTAGGGAGGAAAAGTCAGGGGGTCCAAATGGCATGACCATCCATATGCTAGGAGAGAAAAGGTCACCTGCGGGGGCTGTTTCTCTGTTTTTTTTATGTCCATCACGGAATATGACAGGTTCCTGAGTGGAGGAGCTGGGGATTAAGAAAGAAAGAGACCAGGAGGCAGAAATAGATTCATCAAGCTGGGTGCTAGGTGGGCGCCATCTCTGTGATGGAGAGGCAGCAAGCAGCCAAGCCACACAGCAGGTTTATGTTATAGGGTCAAAGGAGCTTATCTGCATTCTTAACTAGGCTCTAGCATTTCTCGATTTACATATTTAGACCCGCCCCTGCTGACACCTGGACAAAGGTAAGTCAGAAACTGAATTCACGCTCAGCCCGCTTGGGGACACAGACTCTGCCAGTGCCTCGGGCTCAGCTGACAACTTAAAGGATGTCCATGTGCCTTCCCAGGAGGCCCTCTACAGTCACACTTGGGACAAGGCCCCACCCTACAAGTGCCCTTTGCTAGTCACCCAGGGCTTTCCACCCTGGTGGCCTTCTGCACTTGGCCCATCGTCCTTGCTCTGCTCATTCTGTCTAGCTGCCTACCACATTTCTTGTTATTGCCAGAAAAATTGGAGTAAAACTGGAGTGAGTTTTCTTTACTTGACTGCAGTATGAATGCTAACATTTTTACCATTTTAAAAAACTTAGTTGTTAGGTTTTCTTTCTTTCTTCTTCTTCTTCTTCTTCTTCTTCTTCTTCTTCTTCTTCTTATTATTATTATTATTACTAGAGAGGACAGGAAGGAGAGAGAGGAAAAAAATCAACCCTAGCTGGTTTGGCTTGGTGGGTGGAGCTTCGCTGTGAACTGAAGGGTCCCAGGTTCCATTCTGGTCAAGGGCATATGCTTGGTTGTCAGTTTGATGCCCAGTGAGGTGCGTGCATGAGGCAGCCAATCAATGATTCTCTCTCATCATTAATGTCTCTCTCTCTCTCTCCTTCTTCCTTCCTCTCTGAAATCAATTAAAAAATTAAAATAAAATAAAAACTCAGTGTGTGAGAAACATTGATCAGTTGCCTCCAGCACATGCCTGGCCTGGGATGGAACCCAAAACCTGGGTATGTGCCCTGACCAGAACCCTGACCAGAATCGAACCCGCCACCTTTTGGTGCACGGGATCCCGCTCCAATCAACTGAGCCACACTGGCAAGGGCCATTGTGGCCTCTTCAACTTTCCTTTCTGGACGCTAAGCTGCAGTCCCTGTCACCAAGGAAACAGCAGAGATGCTTCATCCCTCACAGCTCTGCGCAGCCACACGCTGGCCGCCTTTGTCCACGGAGCTGGCTCAGTGCTTTGTGTGCACTCCGCTAAGTCAGCCGCCGTCTGCACAGACCTCTGCCCATTGTTCTACCTTTAACAAAATACGTCCCCCAAAAACAGAGGTCTGCCAGTTTCTTCCTGGCAATGGCTTTTTGTCCCCAGACCTGTCCGGAATCCCAACCGCACCAGACATTTCTGGTCCCTTAGGACAAATATGAAAACGGCCTGCTCAGCCTCTGTGGTGCGGGCACTGTGGAGGGAGGGTCCGCCTTAAAGCATGCAGCGGAGCGTGCACCACGGGTGTCTCTTTTAAAAGCCCCGGGGACCCAAAATAAAGCTGAGGAAGGGCAGCTGTGCAGTGGTAACGCGTGGAAAACTCCTCGGGCGGCCGTTATGCAACAGGGAACACGCTAAATATTTCCGTTAGAGGAACTTCCAACTCCGACGCGTGCACAACGAGGACACCGCACACACCTCAGCTCTCCTGGAGCAGGGGCGAGCCAGGGCTCAAATCCGAGACCTGCCCTCCAGCACGACTCCTGATTGCTTTCTTTACCCTCCTGTCCTGATTGCTCTTTTTTAACCCTCCCATCCTGATTGCTTTTTTTACCCTTCTATCCTGATTTTTTAATTTTTTTTTTTACCCTCCTATCTTAATTGCTATCCCCCCCCCCCCCCATCTCAATTGCTTTTTTCACCCTCGCGTCCCAGGCGGACCCCATCTCCCTGGAGCGCCCCTTCGGCCGCTCCTCTCCTCTCCACGCCCCAAATGTCCCCAAACATCTCCTCCACCTCCTGGCTGCAAACCTCAAAAAGTTTTGCGCCAGGGAGGAGGGCAAGAGAGGAGACAGAGAAAAGCCGCATGCCCCCCCCCCCCCCTCCCCGGGCCCCCGCCGCGGGGACAGCTGGCGGCCCGCGGGGACCAGACACAAAGCCGATTCCCCGGGCGGTGCGGGGAGGGGGGGACCCTCCGCGGCTTCCCTTCCTCCCTCGCCTCCCCGGGCTCCCTCCTCAGGACACACCGCCACCTCCCACCTCCTCCGGCTCCCTCGGCCCGCCCCCTCTCACCCACCCGCTGCCCCCCAAGAAAGAAAGGCCCAGACCGCCCCCCACCCCCCGTCCTCATCCTTCCATCCCGGGGCTGGGGAAGCCCTGCGCCGGGCAGCCCGCACCGAGGGCGCCCCGGGCTGGGAGAAGCTGACGTCGCTGCGGCCTTGGCCCCGCCCTCCCTCCTCCCCTCCCCTCCCTCTCCTTCCCTCCCCTCCTCTCCCCTCCTCTCCCCTCCCCTCCTCCTGCCCCGGGCGCCGCTCCTCCGCCCAGAAGTTCAGGGGTCCCCGCTCGGCCTCCCGCGCTCCGGCCGCCGGGCCCCTCCGCCTCTGGGAGCTGCCCCCGCTCGGTGCCCGCGAAGATGGCGAGGAGGAGCCGCCGCTGCCTCCTGCTGCTGCTGCGCTGCCTGGTGGTCGCCCTGGGCTGTGAGTTCTGGTGCCTCTCTCCTCCCGCCGCGGGGGGACCGGGCCCCCCATCGCGCCGGCCGGGGACCCGGTCCCCCCATCGCGCCGGCCCGGGACGCGGTCCCCGCATCGCGCCGGCCCGGGACCCGGTCCCCCTATCGCGCCGGTCCGGGACCTAGTCCCCCCATCGCGCCGGGCCGGGACGCGGTGCCCGTGCAGGGGCGTCTCCGACTCGGGGCGCAGGGGGCGCCGGGGCGTCGGGCTTGGCCCCCTGCGGGCCTGGGGTCGGGGTGCGGGCGGGCACGGGGGCCCCAGGACTTGGGCTTGCGGTCCGGAGCCTCGGATGTGGTCGGTCCCAGTTAGAGAGCGCGGAGGGTCCGCCCCAGCAGGTTCTCTCTCCTCCGGCGAAGTTGGGGTGAGTTTGCGGGGACGTGATGGGCATGCAGAGCGCACCGGCTGCTGTGAGATGCTGAGGTCCCCAGGTGGCATCTCTGAGGGCAGGCGCGGCCGCCCCGCGTCTGGGAGGAGGGGGCCGCGGGACAGTGTCCCCGGGGGGGGGGCTTCCGAGGGTCCCCGCCGGGAAGCGGGGTGCACGCGAGGGGCTGGGGCATCCCCGGCAGCTGAGCCCAGATCCTTGCATCCCCTCCACCTGCGCGTCTCTGTTCAGGGCAGGTCCGGGCCGGGGGCTCCGCCAGCTCTGCCCCCCGGGGGACGGGGGACGGCCGAGGGCGCGGTGGTTAGAAAGAGGCCGCGCCGGGCTGGGTGGCTGAGTGGCGGGTCGCAGGGAGGACGGTCCCGACGCCACTTTCCCAGGATGGTTCCAAACGAGATTTTCAAAAACTCCAGGTTCATGCGACTGTAAATCCTGAGAACGTTTCCTAGTTTGTTTTCTTCTCGTTAACTTTTTTAGGAAAATGGAGGAGATGACACCAGATCTTAAGCACTTAGACAGTGAAGTCTTTCTTTCTTTCTTTCTTTCTTTCTTTCTTTCTTTCTTTCTTTCTTTCTTTCTTTCTTTCTTTCTTTCTTTCTTTCTTTCTTTCTCTCTCTCTCTCTCTCTCTCTCTCTCTCTCTCTCTCTCTTCTTTCTTTCTCTCTCTTCTTTCTTTCTTTCTTTCTTTCTTTCTTTCTTTCTTTCTTTCTTTCTTTCTTTCTTTCTTTCTTTCTTTCTTTCTTTCTTTCTTTCCTTCTTTCCTTCTTTCCTTCTTTCATATTTTATTGATTTTTTACAGAGAGGAAGAGAGAGGGATAGTTAGAAACATTGATCAGCTGCCTCCTGCACACCCCCTACTGGGGATGTGCCTGCAACCAAGGCACATGCCCTTGACTGGAATCAAACCTGGGACCTTTCAGTCCGCAGACCGATGCGACGCTCTACCCACTGAGCCAAACTGGTTTCGGCTCTTCCTTTCTTACTTTCTTTCTTTCTTTCTTTCTTTCTTTCTTTCTTTCTTTCTTTCTTTCTTTCTTTCTTTCTTTCTTTCTTTCTTTCTTTCTTTCTTTCTTTCTTTCTTCGGCTCTTCCTCCCTCCCTCCCTCCCTCCCTCCCTCCCTCCCTCCCTCCCTCCCTCCTTTCTTTCTTTCTTTCTTTCTTTCTTTCTTTCTTTCTTTCTTTCTTTCTTTCTTTCTTTCTTTCTTTCTTTCTTTCTTTCTTTCTTTCTTTCTTCGGCCCTTCCTTCCTTCCTTCCTTCCTTCCTTCCTTCCTTCCTTCCTTCCTTCCTTCCTTCCTTCCTTCTTTCCTTCCTTCCTTCCTTCCTTCCTTCCTTCCTTCCTTCTTTTTTGCTTTTGGTCATTTTCCCTTCCTTTTCTTTTTTAAAAAATAGAACAAGTTATTCAAGTTCTGGCAATAGAGTATTTAAAATAACCTGCCAGATGAGCGCCTAATACCGTAATGCGATGACTGTTTCTCAGACTCTTACCGCCCCAGTGAGTATTGCTCAGCTGAGTGTGATGGGAGTTTTGGCCCTTAGTGAGGGAGAAGGCGCAGGTGGTGGCAGGAACTGGGCCCATGCTGACCTGGGGGATAGGAAATCACAATAAAACCAGTATATAATATTGCAATGTCAAGTGGTATTGCTTTGAACACACAGAGAAACTTAAGGCACGAACGCTGAAAGGCAACCAAGAGTCAGGCTGGAGGGCTTGTAACGGAACTGCTGAGAAAGTTGTGTGTTCATGGACCATCCTACATGTCAAACAAAACAGACTGTGACTTCAGTGCAGAACTGCCACTAGTTCTCATAAGAAAAAACGGGTTTAGTGTGCTATTCTTATTCAGTCATCAGAAATAGAAACGATACACCCCAAGTTTGAGATTGTAGCCAAGGAACCACCAACCCAGGCTTGGATGGTTGAGCAGGGTAACCTCCTCCTCAAGCTTTGGGTAAATCTAACACTTTGGCTCCTTTAACCCTGATTCTATAGGGAATGAATGTAGAAGTAAAGACGGAGGGGGGGCAGGGGGATTGTCTAAGACGAGGCGAGGGATGGGGGTCTTTTCTATCTTGTTCCTGGGATGCCCAAAGGCTTGGCATTGCAAGAATGTCTTCTTTTCTTTGTCTTTTTAAAATAGGCTTTTAACCTTTATAACAATTTAGGTTGAAAGAGAAATTGCTAAGATAGTATAGAGAATTCCTATTATACGACACCTACTTTCCCCTATTGTTAACAGTTGACATTAGTATGATACATTTGTCACAATTCATGAGCCAGTATTAAAATATTATTATTAGCTAAAGTGCACACCTATCGTTCCTATATTCTTACCCAATGTCTTCTTGTTGCTGTTCCAGGATTTCATCCAGGGTACCACATTCCATGTGCTAGTCATGTGCCCTTAGGCTCCTCTTAGCTGTGACAGTCTCAGACCTCCCGTGATTCTTATGGGAAGTATTTAGTAAATGTCCCCATTGGTATTTCTCTGTTGTTTTTCTTATAACCAGACTTAATGGTTGTGGGGGGTTTTGATGATGTTGTTTTGGAGGAAGGTGGAGGATGTAAAGTGGTATTTTCTTTTTTTTAATATATTTTATTGATTTTTTACAGAGAGGAAGTGAAAGGGATAGAGAGTTAGAAATAATGATCAGTTGCCTCCTGCACAACCCCTACTGGGGATGTGCCCGCAACCAAGGTACATGCCCTTGACCGGAATCGAAATCTGGGACCTTTCAGTCTGCAGGCCGACGCTCTATCCACTGAGCCAAACCAGTTTCAGCAAAAGTGGTATTTTCATCATATTACCCTAAGGGTAATTCTCAAAAAATGTATACGCATTTTGAATAATTATTCATTCCATGGGTTAAATCTGAAAAGAAAGAAACATCAATTGAGCTATCAAAACACAAACAAATGTGTGTATATATTTTTGGGGACAACCTACACTATGAATATGACTTATCGTTGTTATTGTTAACCTTCATTACCTGGATGAGGTAATATATATCAGGTTTGTCCACAGTTATCTCTTTTCTTCCCTTTCACACAGTATTTTTTTAAAAGGGAAATCGTTAGGTACAAATCACACTTTAAGGAAGAAGAGTTATGCTCTTCATCCCTGAGAATGGAGTGTCTCCATAAATGATTGGACTTCTCCTTGGGAGATGTGTCTAAGCCTCCCACATTCAGCCATTCATTTTTATATCACTATGCACTCATGAACGTTTATTTTACACTTTGGATTATAGTCCAATACCAACTTATTTATTTTAGTGCTCGGGTTATTTCAGCTTCGGCCGTTGATTTTTTTCAGTTGGTTCCTTATGGCCCGCCCCACCCCACCACCACCACCACACACACACACACACACACACACACACACACACACACACGTTTTTCACATCACTTTTCTTTCTCGCATCACTAGTGTTCCACACTGATCTTGTGTATTTTCTGCGTGGGTCCCAGAATCAGCCATCACTCCAAGAATCCCTGGTTTCTTTCGTTGTCAAATGGTATTAGAAAGTGAAATCTGGGCAGGAGGCATGCTCATGGCTAGCAGGGTGTTATTGGAAAACAGGGATGCTTTTCAGGGCTGTGTTTGTGACCTACCCAATCCTGTTTGTGACCTACCCACTCATGTCCAGATCCAGAAATAGAGTGTTGAAAGCTCCCATGTATGTCAAACACTTTTCTAAGGACTTTCTTGTATATCTCTTTCTAAGGTCTGAACAAACTCATGAGAAGGAACGTATAATTTATACACAAGGCTTAGGAAAGCTAGCTTGCTTGTCTAAGCCCACTTATGGAGGCTGGAAAGAGATAGAACTGGAATTTAAAGACATGAGAATTTTTTTATGGATGGCTGGACTTCTTATCTTTCTGAGTGCTTAACCCTCTTGCCATCTTTATTCCAGAATAGAGTGGAGTAGATTTAGTGGAACTAGTGGCTTTTTTTCTTATGTTCTGATTACATACTTAACATTTTTAACATTCACCCAAATATAACTGTACCACTCTTCTGTCTTCATCTTATCGTGTATGATACCATGCTTATTCCATTTTTTATTTCTGTTTGTCTTCCTCTGTCATCTGGAAGATTATTTTTGTTCTTGCTGCTGTTATTTAAACTATGCTTTCAGTGTATCTGTTGACATATGGACATCTATTTGTGTGCTTAGTTGAATGGTATTTTTATTTCTCACTAAAATGGAAGCTGCATAAGGAAGAGAACTTCTTGATGTTTGCTCACCACTGGAGGTCCAGGGCTGAGCGGAGTGTCTGAAATATATGCCTGTTGATTTGGGGATGAGTTAGAGTGGGTGGAAGAAGTGGGAGGAAATTAACGATTATATTCTAAATCATGAGACCCTACGTAGGTGGAGTGTCAGTTTTCTCTAAGGTGGTATTTAAGCTGATACCTCAAAAAACAAAAGCAGTGACTGTTTAGTATGAGGGACAGGGGGACGGGGGAGGAGATGTCCATGCATCCTGGTATCTTTCAAAGCCAAGGAGTTGAATGTGCATGAGAGCTGTGGGCTGTTCTTGATTCCGCATGACTGGCAGCAGCTGGTCCTCCGAGTGGACT